TGTGGACCGTTTGAGACTTACCTTCTGTACCCCTTTGTTACGCTAATATATTCCTGTGTCACTTAATTTGTGTAGGATCTCAAGTTGCATGATCACAGTTGACTGGAGATGTACCTCTTTTGTAAGAAAAACAGAGATCTCCTCCAAAGATTTTCAGGTCTGGGCCTCCAAACACAACACTAGACACCACCGGTTACACCTGCACTGACATCTAGAAACTAGCTTGGGGCTAACTGGCACATTTTGAAAGGCACTTGAGATTGTATTGTTGTTTTATTGAAAGTGTGATGTTGTAAGATGATATTGCAAGTCCAGTCTCACAGCAGATGGGACATCCAAGCTTTGTAGGCTGCCCTGCAACCAATCAGGGAGACACACAGACAGGCAGACAGAGAGAGAACAGTGATTTTGGATCTGTTGAGGCAGAGCAGCAGGGAGGGTCCTGGAAAAGAAAAAAAAAAAGAGCTTAAGGTCACATACACACACAAAATTCTCTGGCACACTCCCTCCTCTGGCATGCAGCTGATTGTTGGAGTGGCATTTAATTAATCCTGTCAGAAAAGGTTAAGAAAAAGAAGAGAGAAGGGAGGGAACAAAATTAAAAACATTGACGGAGGGAGAAATTCTGTGAGGCGCTCCATTTGCCACTGAAAAACAATGAATTTCTCTAAAGCAATTTAGTTTAGCTTCACCCTGCAGACAGCTACATTTGGTATACCCGAACACGTATATGGACAAATATAAACTGTGTTTGCATGCCAAAGATAAAGGCAGTGATGGAGGTGTTATAAGCTTTCAGATATGTGATAAATCTGCAGCGTGGCATGAAATATCTACAGTTTGCTTTACATCAATTTGCAGCATTCCTGCAGCCACTTCAAATTCAACTCCAGGTCGTAAGGAAATAAGTGAATCCCTTTGCAACTATTATCAAACCCTTGAGCAAGGTATTCAACCCATGCAAAGAGGTACAGGAGAAGACTTGTGCAGGTGTGAATGTACAGTATGTCACAAGCCAAGGGAAGAAAAGGTTCTGCCCAGTGAGTCACTGAGGTTCAGCTGCACATCCTCAACACAGTACAGTGTGACTGAGTTGCATGGAGGTTATAAGAGAAAATATGCATCTTTTTTCACAGAGGATTTTACTGCTGCATTTACCACAAGATGACAATAACTCTGTGCCTGCAGGGTCTAAGAATAATGTCATTGATTTTGTATTTTATTTTCATCCTCTCACTGACGAAGAGCTGCACATGCGATGTGCATATCTGAAGACATTTGAGCCTGAGTGTCAAGACAGTAGTTTGCATTGTGACAGAATACCTTCTTCTGGAGGATCTGTGCTCTAATTATCCCACTCCTCCCCGTTGTGAAAATGGGACTTCATTGTTGTCCACTGTCATCGAAGTGGGATAAAACATGTAGGAGGCGGCAGACACTGGTGAGCAGAGGTGCTAAAGGTCATAGACATCCCGTGACCAATGTGTTAAAAATGGTACCATCTTGTTTATCGCTACACATATTTGAGCAGCAAGCAAGCCAACACAAGCAGCTTGGAGGTGACCATTGTGACTCATGTTTGGGGCTGTCAGTGACAGCGAGACGCAGAGCGACACAGCCAAGACAAAGACAGGACACAAAATAGTGATCTGTGGTTTCCTGTGGAACAATACTTCTGCAGCAACTGCTCAGGGCCACAAAATTAAACACACACATACAAGCAAGTCCCTACTCTGCTCTAATCACACTGAAACCCGTTACTACAAAGGCTATGTTGCCATCTGCAGGCCAAGTATATTGGATTCTTAGACCAGTAATGTGTAATTGGTTAACAGTTAATGAGAGTCGACTTAGCTAATGCAGTCTGACACAGCAATGAATCCTACCTTCCTGAATGTTGCAGAGAGGTGTCGATTCAACTTAATGGTCAATCTGATGCCCGTCCTTTTAGCACCACAAAACCACAGCCTCTGAAATGTTTAACTTTTAAGTGAACTATAGGGTGCAAAATCTCGCAATTCTGGCACTTCAACATGTCAGTGCATAAGGTAGGAAAGTAGGTTTGATTTCAGACAAAGCCTCTGTCCCCCTCTGGCGGAGGAAGAGGTGAGGTGCACTATGGTGATCACAATCACAGCCCACTGTCCTCAGAGACGTTGTTCACACCTGTGCCGCCATCCGGCTCCCTCTTAACCTATTCTTAGCTCCACCAGTCAGTTATTTAACTGATCAGAATTTTAAATATATAATAAAAATCTGAAATTCTTTATTAATAAGGTGTTTTGATGCTTTCAGAACACAGCCTCATGTCTCTCAGTAGGTTTGTGCTCTAATTTAGCAATTCTCAACTGTAGTTTTCAACTACTTTACTTGCAAGTGTGTTATGATACTAGGCATAGTACTCACTAAAATGCCACCTGTGTACATTTCTATCATTATATTCATTTTCCAACTATTATCTTCCATCTCTGGCTCCGGTGAATACACATATTCCCCCAGCCATCAGTTTGTGGCCAGTCTGTTATGAGTCTCCTTGTGTTTGTACCCCCCCCCCGTTGCTATGGTACTATTCACACAAGTATGTGGTAATATTTCACCACTCATAGTACACCAAATGCAACAGATCATCAAAAAAGGCCTTTTTTATCACAACTATAAGTACAGCTGACATTGACTGAGTACAACAACAATGTGTAGAAATTCATGTTTCACATTGAAACACATTATGTTCATACAAAGTACATGCGTAACTCTGACTATGATTTTCTTTTGTATTGTTAAATTACCTTTTACTGCACTATGCTCATTGTCCTCGATTGATCATCGCTGAAACATTTGCCTAACATGCATGTATGTATTGTTTATATTTGCCTGATATGTTCACATCCAAAACTTCAGAATCATCACTCTAAGTCATGAGATTTTTTATGGCCTCAGTAGGATTCAAACACACAACCTTAGTGCTAGTAGCTTAGTGCTGTAACAAACAGAGCCACAAAGGACCACTGCAATGGTTACAGTACGTACAATACTGTAAAATACACTACATGATTACCATCCACAATTACTTTGCTAATTTCATGTGGTGGAAAACTCAGTTGGTAACCATATATTGTAAAAGGGGCTGTGAACACTACAAATTCCTTTCAACATGGGGCAGAATAGACAGTTCAACCTGGACAGGTCGCCAGTCCATCGCAGGGTGCCAAGTCCAAACAGACTGAGCTAATACAGCCCCAAAACATTGTGATTCTCATTACACTCTGTAATGAGCCTTTCTGGGGGTTGTAACAAATCTTAAAAACCTATGAAATGAATTGGTATTTGATGAGAGAAGCACAAAAAGAAGCAACTTTTCTATATGAATATTTTATTGGTCTTTAAAAAAAAAAAAAAAAAAATTACATGAAAATAAAAGAAGATGATTGACACCTGGTGGTCAACAGCCAGTTCAGTGAATCTAATAACAATCATAGATGGATGTTAAAACCCAGGCAACCCCTCTTCCACAAAGCTTCACAGATCATACAGAATTTAAAATAGAGAATCAGTCTAGACTCTCAGTGTTTGTATTGCACCCTGTACAGAGCTTGGAGCAGCCTCAGCGTAACACTGATCCATACTAATGAACCTGTCATTCACAATGCTAAAATGTGAGAATCATGTGGTAAAGAATTTGTTTCTTCTAAAAGTTTTTTCCCTCCCTGTGCACCACCTATCTGCTGTCTTGGGTAATGGCTAAGGCACTATCTGGACAAACTTCTTTTTTTTAGCTATTTGCACTTACTTCATAGTGAAAAGCTGCAAATACGTGGCATACCTTTTCCAAAATGGTTACATCATGATTTTAAACAAACATGGACAGTATAACACATTCAACCAAACCATGTGGATCCCCTGATCTACTGCACTAAAATATATCACTACATGAATAGAACATTCATCGCCTCTCTGAAAATCCTGTTATTTTTTCAGGCTTTTGATTAATTGTGTGGATATAATAGCAAGACACATATGTTCTTAGAGGATCATATAAACATCATTGGGATTCCCAGGCCAATAAGATTCACAGCCTCAGAGAAGTTTGTCTCATTTCAGTTCATACTCTGTGACACAGCTTTCTTAAAACTTTATAAAACGCCACAACAGTACTAACAAAGACAAATATTAACCTTTGTGTTTTATTAAAAACTGCTGTTAGATTAAAGCAGTGAGTGGAATAAATGATTTAACAGTATAGTACCTTAAGTTAACAGTAGTGTAACAAAGCCCCACAACAAGATGTTGCCAATGATTAGTATTTGCAGCTGTGTAAATGTCACTGACGATAAATTACAATAAGCTGGATGTTCCATTAATGATGTCAGCTCAGCTTTATGTAGTAAGACTAATCCATTCATCACTGTAAATATAAAAATCAGAAACGAGGTGGCAAGTTGACGAGGTGGCGTTGATTAACATAAGGAAATATTCAAGGATAAAACCTTCTCTCCGCGTCATTCAGTGAGTAATACTGTATATGAGAGGTTCCAGCAGAGGGACCCCTCACTCCAGATATCTGCAGCCATGACAAGGCTTTTGCATAGCTTATCTCTCTACTTGTGAGATGCACATTATACATTTAGTAATGAACAGTGCATGTGGGCAGCTGCTATTTCATGAGTGCAGCCTGCAGAACATCATAATGCATTCAAAGCACCTGGATAGCTTTGCTGAGGATACAGTAATGATAGAAGGTACAGTGTGTTGTACATGAGTTGTAGCTATGATGATACAGACAGCAAATGTAATATGCAAATATGTAAAATCAAGTTATAGGCAAAAAGTCGGCACTGTAGTTAAGATGGAAGAGGTCTACTTCAAGTACATTACAGTTCATTCAGGGACTGTACGAAATTGATTGAGGCTCGGTCAGAAAAGGGGTTATGTCTTTTTCATTTTGGCTTTGTGCATCATAATGGTGTGTTTTGCAATGTGTAGAGATTGAAGAACAAAATCTCTCTTTGTATCTGGGCTTTATTTTCCACCATACAATCAACTAATAGGGCCGATATGTCATTTTTGAGAAGCTGAATGAAGTAGTTTTTAGTGACTGACTGAAAGGATCTCTGCAGGGAGTGGGTCATTTTTTTCTTCCACATGTAGGCCTAAGCACCAGAACTACAGTAAAGCTAAACGTGTTGCAGGGCTTCCAGTGATGAATGTGTGGATTCTACTGGAGTCTGTCCCTCTCTGCAGGGTAGCTAATGTGAGCTAGCATGTGACTGCATATTTCAGTTCAGCAGGAGGTTAATTAGTGTGCAGACTTTTCTGCTGTATCTTTGCTGAAACTGATACGTAAAGTGGACTGTCAGGTCTCTGATTAGTTTGAAGCATACTGACAGTACTGACAGTCCATAGCTGTATGACAACCTGTATGTATGTGCACAATGAAACCGGCCTTTCAGGTGGTGCTGTTTTTTTTTTTATCATTAACGCTCAGGTATCTTGTACTACTTGTAATGGTGTGCTATCTTGGCTCCTTCGAAAAAGAGATCTTAATCTCAAGGGACTTCCGGTTTATGGTTTAGTCTGTTGCAAAAAAATTGATCAAAATGGTGAATTGGGCACAAGCTAAAACTAAATAAATCCTCCACACCACAGTCATTTTCGTACAGTCCCTAAAGAGATCTTCCCTCTGTTTGCGTTATGTGAAGAAATTGTTAATATTTATGCTCCTTCCAGCAGAAGCCAAATGCTTTCCTTCCTTCACAACCTCCAGAACAAGCAGCAGAAAAATAATGTGCGCTATCAGCTGATTGCATTCACTGTATTGTGCTCTGGATGACAGCAACATATTCTTCAAAACCTTAAAAGTTTATAATCAGCATTTCTTTGAACCCCATTAGCCTGTCAACATTCTAGTTTTCACTTTCAGCATAAGTGGTTTTGTTTTTAGCAGATGCATCAGCATGCATACAGCATGATCTCTTTTACCCTTTTGACATTGCTTTTTTTTTTCTAAATGAAGAATATGATTTGTTTTTAAGGTCAGGAAAGACAGCTCACTCTCAAAATGATGATATTGCGCTGCTACATACCTGTGGGTATAATAGTTATGGTGCGGCCATCGTGACCTGGTGTGTATGTGTGAGAGTGTGTGTATGTGTGTGTGTATATGCGTGTGTGGCACAGATGATAACGCTAACATTTGCATTCTCCTCTGCTCCGGCGCACTAATGCTCACCACAGCGCCAGCAAACCAGTGGAAAAGGCCACACAGCGGAGCAGAGCACTTGATTCCCTCCAGCTCCCATTGATCGCATGCCTCTCAATATGCAGCGCTGACTAATCCAGTCTGAAACCATGCTGCTCTCTCCACTTTAGTGAGATTCAACCAATCTTGAGCTTTGAAACTCAATTAAAAGCTTTCATATGATTAAAAAAAACAACAACTCTCCAACTCTATCTTGCACGCTTTTGCAGGCGTAAAGCTTAATATTAAGGACACATTAGGCGCGAATGGCTTATTAACTGAGGGAGGGAGCGAGAGTACAATCTCAAGATGGGAAGAGGAGAAGGGATCATGAGTACAGTAGCGGCCCATGCCCCTCCTCCTCACTAAGTGCTGCAGAGATGCAAGGGAATGTGTGTGTGTATGTGAGAGCTGTGCGTGGGATGAGGATGAGTATGGGGAAAAGAAAGCGAGAGTGTGTATTTACATGTGGGTATCTACAGTTTGTTGATGGTTGCAGATGAAGCAGGGTAAGAGAACAGCCAGGACAGGAAATGGATCGGCTGGTGGTGGAGGTATCCTAGGTAACCTCAGCTGGCAAGGTCTCTCTCTGCTCCACCAACACTTCATGCATTATCAGCTGGAGGAAGTTTTCACACACAGAAAGCAGAAAGGCGGGTTCAATTCACTGGTTACTAATGCTTAGATCTAGTGTTGTTCAGGTTTGTTTTAATATAAGCTATGCAAAGATTAAGGATTTTTCAATATTAAATCCCTGGGGGATTTATATCTCCTCAGTTAAGAAAGCTCTTCTTTACCAAGCTGAGGGGGGAGGCGATGCTGTCAGAGCAGTTGCCCAGGAGGGAGATTGCCGACCCAGCGTAATACAGTGGGACAAGGGGCGTGGTTTCACGAGGAGCCTACCAGGACGGGAAAATGTGCTTCTCTTCACGTGTCATGCTTATGAGGTCAGACAGCAGAGTGCACAATGCACTCCTCCGCTACTGCACCACGCCGCTATGTGCCAAAGCTCCTCATGCAAAATCTCACACATATACACACTTGAGTGCACACAAACATATATAAAGATCTCTATGGCATATGCACACACATACACACACACACACACACACACACACACACACACACACAATCCCACCCCATTTCTCTAAGCTGGGACCAGCCAGCAGCAAGAACCATCCATTGCTTTGACCCTGAATCAAACACAGAGAGAAAGAGGAGACCATAAAAATAGGACAAGCTGTTTCTGTAGAAAAATAGAGGAATTTCCAGAGGCTGATAAAATGTCTTTGGCACTTCTGAAAACACAGCATATATAAAGAAATCGACACTGAGTCTAAAAAGCCAAACTAGAAAGCTCTACAGTCAAAAAAGGATTAAGATAATCCATGTTCATCCGCATATGAGTCTGGCCAGTCCGGGGTGGATTTGAGCCTGAACAGGCCCGTATCCCACCATCTCGCCATCCACAGTGATCATGCCTTGTGCAGAGATGGGCTCCAGCCGCAGGGCCTTCACCTTCTCGTACACCAGGTGGGGGCAGCCGCAAGCCAAATGGGCGCCCTTCTCCATGGCAAGGAAAAGGCGAAGGAGGGCAGGACGGGAGATTCCTGCTGTCACATAGAACAGATGAATCAGCCCGTCGTCTGCCATTGCACCAGGGACTGTCCACAGGTCCTCAGCCAGGTGGGACTGGTAAATAGCTAGCACCAAGACAAAGTCCTCCTCCTTGACCACCGTCCAGCTCTCTGGGACTGGCTGGTCCAGGCCAGGAAGCAAAGAGTCCTCTGGTGCTCTGGTTTTGCCATCACTCTGGGTCTCAAGTCTCTTGGTGGTGATAGCGTTGTTGGAGGAGTTGGTGATGGTGTTGTGGTTGGAATTTGTGCTGTTGTGCTTGTGGTGGGAGTTCGGGTTTGGCGAAGTGTTGGGGATGAGCTGGCAGGGAAGGGAGGAGCAGAGTGAGGGGTGCTGAGGCGTAGAGGGAGGGTTGTTTCCTTTTGGAAGTGTTGGCTCCTCCTTAAAAGGCAGATACGCTAACCTGCCCTGATAGACTCTCAGAGAGGCCAGACGCACCAGGGTGCCCATTAGGAAGCGGATTGCTCCAACATGGCGGTACTTCTCACTCTCAATGTCAACGTCAGCCACGAAGCCCCAGGCCAGGGAGAGGAAGGAGAAGAGGCGCTGCTGAGAGGACAGGTGGATCGACACCAGGTCCAGGGAGCCAACCAGACCTTTGCAGAGCATGAAACCACAGCTCAGTAGCAGCTCCTCGTTCCACACCGGAGGCGACCTGAGAGATGGTTACACACATTAAGAGTTAGAAGCAATTATAGCATGGCACAACATCACGTGAGCGTGTTATGGATTACTGTTGCTATGCAATAAAAACAACAGTCTGTGAAGATTCTCAGTCATCCAGGTAATAGTTATTCAAGGAAGGCTACTATCAAGGATAACTGGACTTCTGGCAATCTGTCCAGTGGTTGTCAGGACATTTCAATATTGACTACAAATGTCAACTTGTTGTTGTGGTCCTGCAGTATGTCGTCCCCCCCCCCCTTTGATTAGACAAACTTATATGTTGCAATAGAGTAAAATAGTTAAAAAATAAAATAGTTTGTTTCTTTTATCAGTGATTGTAGAGGATGTCTTCATTGATCACAACTTGATTACATATCAGATAGATATTATGGAGATGATAGATTCTGTAAATGTTGGATAATGTGAGTGTTTTGCCTAATGTGAAAACTGTAATCCGTCTTTTACAGTATACTGTAGAATACTACTGTCAATACTTTGAAGGTGATTTGAAACATGTATCTTGCATTGTTTGTTATTTGATTGACTGTGTGGCTTAAATGAAAGACTGGCTGTGTGATGACATTGGAGTTTTGTAAGAGTTGTGAAATTTTACCACATACTTGCGATAATAGTACAAAAGCGATAAAAAACCCCACTATAAATGCCTGTTTTTTGTTTTGGTCATGCCCACAGCCAACCAACAGATGGAGATGATACCCTGGCCATGTGCTGGGTCAACCGGTTTCACAGCTGCACTTTGGACTATAATCACTCAAATGTGCATACTCACGTACGAGTTTCTAAATCCATTACATCATTCCCTTGAGAGTTATCAGCAGTCTGAAATGACCACTGCTGCACAGCGAAGCAGTTCTAGTCTGCTCCCCTGTCCCTCCTCCCTCCTGAAGAACGAAGCCCAGTCAGCCTTTGGCATAATTACACAGAAAGGAGATAAATCGTTCTTTTTTCGGCTGAGGAATTTTCTTCTTTGCTCTTCTTTTGTACTGTTGGTCCATGCATTTAAATGACTCATTAATGGACTGACTTACTGTGAGTAGTGGTTGACAGAGGCAGCCAGGGCGTTGCCTGAGCCACCAGGTAGAATACCCAGAGGGGTCTGGATGGCCTCTTGCCAATCCTCCCGCTCCATCAGACCATTTATCACCTGAATGAACAAGAAAAAATACAAAAACAGAAGTAGAGCATTATCTTAAATAGAAAGTAGTATGTATGGTGGTACTAGGGAACCTGAAACCACACTGGCTCAAGATTCATAGATATACATAATAAAGTTCAGCATGAAGAAAAGCATCCACACAGTGGCCAAGGTATTTTTTAATATTTGTCCGTCATCTTTAAAAACAACTAAAAACAGTGAAGCATTCACAGAACAAAAATACGGATACAGAGATTTTAGGTGCTACAATCACAGGCACTGTGCTCTTTTGTCATGTACAAAAGTACTAATTAAATTTTTGCAGGCCTAATCTGAAAACTTCTTAAAATAGAAACAGGGGTGAGAAGGTTTATATAATTTCCACCTGTGATTGTTTGACAAGTGGAATTTTTTAAATGCCCAAAAAACAGATCAAGTTAAGAAATGAAGTGAAATACAATACACATTATTATGTATTTCATTTTAATATACGTAATGACAGTGTCATCATTTATTACTATTACTTTGCATTTTATCTTTAATAATGGAATTTTATTGTGATGTGTATTCTTCTAGCCACATTAAAATCAGATGCCAGTACAGAAAACAAAGTGTATTGTATATCAGTGTTGTCCAGCAGAGAGCATCATAGTGCTGCCAAATAAAAAGCACCGTCATTAGTTTTTATGAGGAGGTGCAATGGAGCTTTGTCTTTTTAAGAAGGAGATACATCATCAATGCCAAAATTTAAATAATTGGGTTAGGTCAAAGCACCTCAAACAGCAGCCCATCTCCAGACATGATAACTAGGGCGTCCCACTGTGACAGGTCTGCGTTCCTCACCAATTCCCGTGCATGGTTCTGGTGCTCTGAAAGAGGAAGTGGAAAGAGAGAGAGAAAAATAAGAGAGATCAGAAAAATAAAAACAAGGGAAAGGGCAGAGAAAGAGAGATGCGGCCTTCATCGCCAGCCTCTGGGGTAGAATCAGGGAGATTAGCCAGAAAAAGAGAGCACATTAGCCCATCCAGTGGCTACTCAACAGCTCCAAGGCAGCTTAGCCGCCCTGCAAACATCTGTGACTGACAAATATCTGCATGTGTGTATGTGCATTCACTGGATGCATGTGCGTGTTCAGTATGTGCGTCTGTGTGTGTGTTGGTTAATGTGCTGGCGGAAACCGAGCTATTTGTTCAGCCTAGTTTTATTGGCAGCATCCTTGAGTGGGTCCCTCTGCAAGGGGCCTCTGTGGGCTCCTCCCGCCAGCATTAAAGTCTGCAGTCCTACCAGCTGAGACTCCCCAGTGTAGTGCTGTGTGTTTGTGTTTGTGCGTGTGTGTGTGGAAGAGACAGCTTTACAGAGAGAGAGAGAGAGAGAGAGAGAGAGGCAGGCAGACAACAGAGAAGTTAGTAAGTATTGATGCACTATCATCATGAAGGAAATGTTTTTCTGCCCAGCTCAAGTATTGAGCGAGGACAGTAGTGAAATAAAAACAAATACCCTCTCCTTCCCTTTCATTCGGTCCAACCTCCACCTGTCCCCCTACACTCTCCCAGGCCCCTCTCTCTCTCCCTGCGGTGCTCCCCATGTAGCTGCTGTTTGTTTGCAAGGTGCTGAGGCTGGAGGCAGTGATGCAGCGCTGTGGTGACAGACAGAGGCAGAGGGAGTAACGGCAATGCACAGCTGACTCAGCACTTTATACCTGCCGTGGCTCGGGCTGATGCTTTACTTCCCAGGCACTTCCTTATTTAAGGGGTCATAAGCAGCAATTCTGGCTGAAAACCTGTAATCACCTCTGTCAAGGCAATACATAAATACACACTTGAAATATTGGTCAAATTCTGGTTGTTTCACTTCAAAAGCAGCATTTTCCTTCTTTTGTCACACTCTTCTGACTTCTTCTGAGGTCAACCAGGGTAAAGATGAAGCTTGGTGCACTGGATGCTTCATACAGTATGTAAAAGGTACACTCTGACACAAGAGGTGCTTCTAATGGTACTTGTCCTTCCTCAGGCAGAGGCTGTGTCATACATTCATCAAGGAGCTGCGTGCTGGGTAAATAGGGTTGCGGCAGTTAATCCACTCATAGGCACTTCTGAATGGCTACCGTATCTGATCCCGACCCATATTCTCCCGGGTCAACTTCAGTAATTATGCTGTGCCTTTTTTCATCACCGTCCATCTGCTGACCTTCCTTTAAGCCCCAGGAGTCGGCACCAAGAGCTTGCATGCGCGTCAGCACTCTTTCTCAAATAAACAAACACACTCCCTCCTTTTCCTCTGACTTGGCTGTCATATTCTGTCTCACTTGGTGCTGTATCAGAGATCGAACTGATGCACTGCCAAGCTGACGCTGGAAGAGACGGCTATTTCTTACCTTTCAAATTGTTGGTCCTGTCAAATGGGGTTTGGGTTTGAGTGGAGGGCGGGTGGTAGGTTAAAGACTCACTGATTTTTGTCTTTTGACATTAAAGCTTATCCCTGTTTCCCAGCTGCTCGTTGGTATTCAGAAATAGGGCACTTGGAGTTCAGAGCCTCTGAAGACATTAACAAACGCATGACATTGTTTAAGGTCACAAAAAGCCACCGGCAACTCATACAGAATGGGAAATAGCTGGGGAGACTTAAACGAGAAAGTGTTCATGTACTCAATGTGCCTGCAGTGTGTGTGTATCTGTGCGCGTTTCTACTTATTGAACACATGGCCTGTGAATTTTTGATTACACAAATAATGCATCATAACGTGGCAAAAGTTTATGCCAAGTTAAGTGTGCTCAAGTGCCTGCAGTGTGTGTGTTTTTCATGTTTTTATATCCCTTGGGGGACTTTAACCTGAATGCACACTGACTGATGGGGACTCATGTTACTTTGGGGACAAAAATGTAGGTGCCCGTGGGTAGAGACTGCTTTTTGAGGGTTTGGTTTTAGGATTCAGACAGGGTTAGGTTTAAGAGTTAAGGTTAGGCATGTAGTTGTGATGATAAGGTTATGGTAAGGGTATATGGAATGCTTTATGTCAATGAGATGTCACCATGGGGATAGAAGAACAAACGTGTATATGTGAGTGTGTGTGCGTAAAGTGGCAGGCCTCTGTTTGATGTCAGCGTGACCTTGAGAAGAGTGAGTGCTAAATGCAACGGTCAGTATGAATGCTACTGACCTGTGATGATAAGTGTGTAGGGAACGGCGGCCTCAGTGAGCATGCCCTGTACGTGGCCGGTGAAGAGCTGCAGAGCCTGGCCGCGACCGCTGTGAGGGTTCACAAGTATCATGAATCTGCACGGCCGACGCACCTCTGCGTACACCACACCTGAGGCAGGCAGAGAGAGGTGGATGTGAGCGAAGGCAAGGATAGAGATGAAGCACGATGACAAGAGGAGCTTCTTCTCATGCATGATAAGATATTTCAAAGACAGGCTCGTCCCTCGGAGGGAAAAAAGAGAGTGAAACAGTAAAGTCACAGGCTGTGGCAGCATTCAGATAGACAATGCTTAATGTTAATGTGACATGCTACTTCCTTCAAGGAGGGAGTTGCTTCTCAGTCAGGATCATACCGATTACTGATAGCAATTCTGTGTAATTTTTTTTAACCCCCATCAGGAAATCCTCCTGTTCCTTATGACTCTCAAGGGAAGCAATGGCGTGACCACACTTTATTACCCAAGGGTTGGGAGGGATTCAGCATCTTGCCTCAGCATTTTTGCAGAAAAGATGCTTTACTACGACTTACCCAGCTTCCTGCGTTTATGAAGAGCATCATTTTAATAATTATATATATAAAAAACAAAAGGAGAGCAGGTATTAAGACAGAAATAAACCGGGGAGGAAAATTGGGTTTAGATAACTGATACCACTTTAATGTCTGTATGCTAAATATGTAGCTACAGCCAGCAGCTGGTTGGCTTAGCAGGAAACAGGGGGTAAAATGCTAGCCTGGTTCCGGCCTAAAGTAACAAAATCCACCTACCAGCACCTCTAAAGCTTACAAAGCCCCTAAGGGGACATGGGTGAAAAAAAACCACACTTCTCTTGCCCACCAGAAAGTATGTGGTGCTCATAAAAAAGTATCTGTACACAAGATATGATCTGGTGCTCACGAGAAAGTATGTGGTGCTCACGATCTTGTGCACACCAGATAGTATCTCATGTGCACCAGATACTTTGCACCAGATTTTTGTTTGTTTGTTTTGACCATGTCCTCTTAGGGTCTCTGTAAAAGGTAAAAGTTCATTAATTAACAGGTGCCAGGCAAACAGTGACTCCAGGAACAAGAAATAGTGACCCCCATAAAATAGCAAATTGTTGTTTTTACACTTTGGTTTTTGTTTGAAGATATTAAGTATTAAAAAGTGCTTAAAGGTGCTAGTAAGCAGGGTATTTATTTTTTTTTTTACCACTGTAAAGAGCCAATGCGAGCTGTTTTTCCCGTTTCCTCTCTTTTGCTAAGCTAAGATAACTGGATGTTAGCTGTACATATGCTACATATTTACCATATTTACCATACAAGAGAGAGGTATCGATCTCCTCGTCTCTCAACAAAAAGGCAAATAAGTGTAATGTAAACTATTGCTTTAAGGGAAAAGGAGAGAAATGCATATTAATTCAAATCTGTGTGTGAAGATGATGTGATATGGGGGCGGCTGTAGCTCAAGTGGTTGAGTAGTGGTTTGATAAAACATGCTAAATTGTAATGTAATGTAATGAAGATCCAGTTATCTTATTGCATTAATAGCTAGCACATTACATGATATTTGCCTTAATGAGTTATTTGTTCCATCTTATAAAGTTCTTATTCATTTTCAATAGGCTACGTAATCATGAGGGAGGATCAGGTTCAGCCACTTCACTGTACAGGCTGCTGCTGAAAGGGTTTGCAGCATTTTTAAAGTGAAGTCGGGGAGAAGCTTCCTCTAGAGGTGGACTTTTCAGCAGACGCCCTTGACCTTTAAAGCAGACACCAACTCACCAGAGACCGTATCAAATGAATTAGAGAGGACAAAAAGTAATATCCATTTTGGGGTGTGGAGGACAGAAACTTCAGTATCAGTTTACACCAGAATTATTTGGTTGAAGGTGATGCTGTCTTTGCTATCAAACAGACACAATTCCCAGAAGCATAAAATATGACAGAGGGTTAAATTGCACCACCTCTTGCTTATAATGTAAATTAATCAAAAAAGAAACCAGATGCCGTATTTTCCAGTACTGTGACCTGTGATGCTGTCGCAGCCAACCTCTACCTCATTTGGCCCGTGATGATAGGACACGGCAGAGGTACAAAAATATCTCAGAGACAGTGGTGCGAACCCACCAGGAAGAGTGAGGTGAGAGTGTGAAAACAAACAGGCACACGCCAAACTCTGCCTCCATTCAACCACACAGGGTTACCATTGTTTTATTTACGTGTATCAGACCACAATGTGGCTTTCAGATACAAAAGGTCCTTTCTACATTTCCAGAATATAGTGGAAAGAGCTTTGGATTCCAGTTTTACACTCAAGTGTGCAGAGCTGAATCACATAGCCTTACTAAACCCACAGACACAAGTGAAAATGCCAAACCTAAAGTTGCAATCCTCATTCCTCAAAACAACTACAGATCTGGAAGTCATGATCCCCAAAGCACAGGTGGTAGGGAAATATTTTTATGTCTGGTCCAGCACCTTCACTAGCCTGCATGGTTCCAGACCCCTGAATCACTGCACACATCTCAAGTTTTTGTCAGCGATTCAAACAGAATAATGAATAATGAAGTGATGAGTCTGATTACCATGCTACAGCTTCAGACCCCCTGTACTCTGAAGGGCGGCACTGAAATCACTTGTCACGCAAGGGAATCTACTTAAATAACAATAAGAACTCCTTTGCTCTTTGTGTTGTAATTAGGAAACATAATCACAATTTAAGAAATGGTTTTATTGTGATTATTTAGATAATGTCAATTAAATGATTAGTCAGCTGACAGAAAAATCTATAATTGGTTAAAGGTTAAATGTAGGTTAAACTTAGTACCTCTCACTATAATGCAATACAATTCAACAAACTAAAGCCTCTAAAATGATCATAATGTCAAATCAACTGCACTCTAAAACAGTTGGAAAAAACCCTTAACATGACTTTCATCAGGGGAGGATTTATTGCAGAACTGTTGTATTAGGCTGAAATAGTTTTAGCTAGGTGTACCTAATAAACTAAATATTGCATACACAATTTCATTTAAACTATTATTCTCACAAAGTAAGTAATAAAGGCAATTAAAATCTACCTGGAGATTATTAATGATAATTCCTTTTGCATAGGATGTTTGCTTCTTATTAGGAGACAACAACATCCCCGGCTCCTCCAGACTGCATGTCGAGTCCTTGGGCAAGATACTGAACCTCGAAATACCCCTGGTGGTTGTTGCACCAGTGTATGGATGTGTGTGAATGGTAGTTTGTGTTTGAGCAGGGTATGTATGTTTGTGATTGGTGAATGCGATGTAGGCGCTATACGGAGCATTTACATTAGTCAACTGTTGATAACTTCAGTAATCACATTACAGTTACTAATAACAAAATCATCGCGCTACTTGCGAACTGGTTATTGAACTATCCGCTTAAGGAGGAGAGATAAATAAATCAAACGTCCCTTTACACGCGTGTTTGCTTAACACTTTCCCGACCTAACTTTTGACTTCAGCGCCAGTTCATGAGGACGCAGAAATGGCAGGGCTGCTAAAGACGTCTTTCGAGGGGTGGAGGTATTAATTCATATTGTTTCGCAAAAGGACAGCGATACCCTCTAGTGCGCCTGTGGCGAGGCTCTTCAGCCTGGGCAGTCTTGTGCTGATTGTGAGGAGGAACAGGTTGTCTGACTAACGATTTGAGAGACTTCTGATCAGGGTGCGACCTACGGGGGAGCCTGGGGGAGCTTGGCACCCCTTAATAAGACATCAGCTCTCCTAAAAACACGATTTGTGATATTTTGAGGGGTCTCTAAAATATCGACAGCATGCTTTATTGACATTAATATCTATATTTCTCTATCATCATGGATCATGCGGAGCGACAGACTTCATCCAGCCAGATTACTGAGGGGTTGTGTCGCTAGTAAATGTTTCCAATATAATTCTTAGCATTTTAGTACTGTACTCTAGCCTTGTTCTTCTCTTTACAAATGTTGGGCTGATGTTTTTGGAATTTGTTGTCAGCTTTGTAGTATTAAAGAGCATAAAAGAGAGATCCTATGTATGTCCTCATTATAATAAGGATTTGTGTTGATCTGAGCATATATGAGGTGTAACTTTATATTGGTATTGTGCATCACAGGTGATGTTATGCAGTAATCCAAAAGTAATGTAACTAATAGTGTAACTAGTAACTTTCAGCAGTGAGTAATCTAGTAAAGTAAGGCATTATTTAAAAAAAAAAAAGTAACTACTAATGTGTAATCCATTACTTTTTTGAGTAACTACCCTAACACTGCTGTCATAAGACTTTATATGCAGATTATAAACGGCATATAAAGTCAAAGCGCAAGTGTTTCGTCTTCAATATGCACTGTCAAACAGTGCATGACTATAGTTTAGTGGTTCCCAAACTGCGGGCTGAGGCCACCATAAAGGCCCACAAGATTGATCTGCGGGGTCACGAGATTATTAACAGGAAAGGAAACAGGCAAAAAGGCATGTTCCTGCAACACAAAATTATATTTTTTCAAACATTCCTATAATCTTCGCCTTTTTCTTGTGAATTAATGAATATTTTTACATTTTCAGGCCACTAAAAATAGAATAAAGGGAAAAAAATCACTCTTTGCATATGGGCATATGCAAGCGCTAATGTGGGGTCACAAATACACATTGCATTGTTTTGAGGAATCAGAAGTAGGGCTGGCGCAATAACCGCAAAATTAAAATACCGTGCTTTGCTTAAGGCTACCGCAGAGGATGGCAAGCACCACAACAACCGCAATGTTCATACACTTCAGTGTGTGTTAAATTAAGAAAGTAGTGCTTCAAAAGTTCCACAACTGTAACAAGCTCTGTAACGGTTCAAGGACGGATCGCCATGGGCTGTACGTGACCCGACTTCAAACTTGGAAGCTGTAAGTCTTGCCGTGTTTTGTCTTGTTTTACTGTTTGTTTTAAAGGTTAGCTAACTTGGCGTTAGCGTTTTCCCACGGGTAATGTGGCTAGCAGGCTCGGCAATGTTGGACTAACACTGTCATCCTGAGGGACATTCAAGAGAAACTGTGAACTGTAAGCCTCATTTGAAGCTCACTAACTAACGAGCATAGTGTGTTGGATGCCTGCAGCTGTTGTTAATGTTGCCTTCTGTGGAAATTTAGTTATAACGTTACAACAGCTCAGTGGTTAACTGTGAATAGCCCATTCTGCTCTGCACCGGTGTGTACATGTGTGTTGCTGCGGTATGTAAATTGACTTGATAGACATGCCATGAAGGTAACGATATAGCTAACATTATGTGTTTACAAGACACGGTCAGACTACAAAAATGAGTTTTTTAATTGGCAATGTTGTTGAGCACCCAATAGCTAGCTTGATCCGACCATAAAGCTACTGTTAGCGGCTCGCTGTGCAGTGAGGTGAGATCCACAGACACTCTTACTATGCTATATGGCACCAAATTACTTAATTGATGAAAAATGCGATAATACCGCACTGTTGAGCCCCAACATAATACCGCGCGGGAAATTACTTCACCGCAACAGTATTATCTGAAGCCAAACGAGTTTGGTAACCACTGTTTAAATGATGAATGAAACCAAAAGACTCCCAATGTCATGGCAGCTTATTCCTTTTCATTCATTTATGATTCATTATCCTTTATTTTTCAATGCGCTGCCCCCAATTTCTGTCTCTGAAAATGGCTTTTTCCCCAGACGTTCCTGCTGAACTGTGTCTGTCTGTGTGTGTGTGTGACAGGAAGATAGATGTAGGGTATGAGGGTGAATGTAAAATCTCTCTGCGATGTGAAGTCTAACACCAGCAAGCAAACTTTGGCCTGCAATGTGTGTATTTCATAGTTACAAGTGGGTAAACTCTCTCTCTCTCACACACACACACACACACACACACACAGCATAGGCAGCCAGGCGACAGGCAGAATCAGTGCTAACAAGTGCTGAGCTGACAGATATCATCACTGTGCTGATAGTTAAAAAGTGCTAAATACTGACGCAATGTACCTTCAGTATCTTATACTGCATCACAGGTGGTACTTGTTAGACGACAACATTTAAGATAACTATCGGAGCAGAAACAAACACAGTATTCGCTGAAAGCCGTCTTGTTCTGGAGTAACTCTATCTCCAGACTGATTGCCGTGTCTGCAAGCAAGCTGCATTCCAAGGTTGGGTGACCGTTTGCCGGAGAGGGGGGGAGGAGGTCTAAAGAGTATAGACACAACTGCCCACTGAGGCTGGGGTGGGATGGTGCCCGGGGGGTGGGGGTTGGGGGTGTTGACAGGCCATCACATCTTTGTGTCACGGAGCAGGAGACGAAGGCTCCGGAGGGACCGATATGCTGGACAGGGTGAGAGGTCGCCGGTGATGCATTTTAGCTCTTCCTCGCTGAGGAAGCAACGCCGGCTTCAGCAGAGCCTTGGGGAGGAGAGATAGCATGCTGCCAGACACATACCTGACCCTGCGGCTGCTGAGAAACAGTCACTTTTGTGGCAGCTGTGCAGACCGCAGCTCTTTCCTCCCTTCCTTCTCTTTTGCATAACCCCACATGTTACCCCGAGGGATCATGCTCACATTTGCACGGGAGTAGCTTGTAGGAATTTGCTCATTTTAAGGGTGCACAGAGACACAGAAGTTTAGGGAAAAAATCAAGACAACCGAATAGAACCAACCAATCGCAAATCAAATCAAAATAATGCAAAGTTCTTGCACGTATAAATGTTAAATCTGAAACTGGCCTCCTGCTAGATGTTTGAAAAGCAAAAAAAAAAAATTCAGCCGGTAGCAATGAAGGCAGCCACTAGCAGAACAAGTCAGAACAAGTACTGTAGCAGACCATTAGCATGTGCAGGAATGTATCGCAGTGTGGGTGCTTCATACATTTCATTCATTCCAATAAACCTGCAGTGAGAATAAAAACCCTGTGAGACTATCAGAGACTTCAATACCCAAACCAAATTAGAAATTGGAGTTACAACCTCAGTGTAAACTATAGCCTACCTTCACATATTAAATTTCATGTTTATCCACTGTGTACTTCAGTGAAAGCGCCTCACAGTGATAGCTCTCTGACTGATTACCAATCTTGAGCTCGCAATTGCACTTTTAATCCAACCTTTCCATCTGCAATGCCAGATGAGATGACATGCAATTAACGCAGGGGGTAAATACACTACAAGGGATTAGCGAATCTCACTGACTTTCATACACCCTCTACGGCGAGGCAGCAAAGCGGCAATTCTGCTGCATCTGTTACCACAACATTATTCATTTAAACCACATAATATATTCAGTTAAATACTGTATTATTGGCTGGCTGGGTTTCTGGGAGGCTAAAACAAGCTTATAAATTAATGATCTCATCACATCGTCGCTGAGACGCTCTGTTCAAATGAAGTGAAGTGGCAAAAAAACATCTGGGTTGTGAACATGCTAAACTGTTAGATCTGGTTCATTAGTATGTATGATCTGAATATCTCCAAAGCTGAAGCACTTTGATGAGTCCGGTAAGAGGGCAGTGATGTGAGGGACCATCTGCCTGCCAGCCTGCCTGGCATACAGGGTTGAAACCAGAACTCCTGCTGGCTGCAGCTGGCTCCCAGTCCCTCTCTCTCTCTTTTATTCACCTCTCTGTGTTTGCAGTGTACACCTGGAGGCTGCTACCAGAGGGGCTCCTTATCCTGCTATACTAACACTTGCCTCCATCTTTGGCAACCAGCATTCCAAATTAGTCACTGTCAAGTCAAACATCTGCCTCCTCTTTGAACTGCTCCGGTTGCCCCAGGAGTGCATGCCTCCGTTGTATTATAAACAGTTCAATATTTCTATAAAGGATATTTCCGGATGTGACATGGCTGATTCAGAGTTTGCACCCTATAGTTGATAAACAGAATCATCAGTTGGGGACCCAAACAGCTTTGTCGCATCATCAGCAGGTATCACCACCTCCTCCCAAATGAGTGACAAGGGGTAATCAGTGGCATAAACACTTCACATATTATGTTCATGTTAACTCATTGATGGAGCACAGGGAACCTAATGAGATTGGAAGACAAAGGAACCCGAGGACAGTCTGCATTTTAAACAGAGCGAGACATGATGAGACCTAATTAGATGAAGCAGGACGAAAAACAGGCTTTGTTTTGATGTGATTTTTCCACTCGTCAACAAAAAATCCTCAGTGGGAATTTACCAAGCAGGAATAATGAAGCCTGTGCAGTGGCTACACTCTCTGCTGACAGAGGATCAGTGGAAAATCTAACTACTTAAGCGATCAGTTCTGTGAGTCTGTGTGTGTGTGATAACTGTAGGCTCCAGATCCCAGAATCATCAGGGCTGTTTGGATGAATGAGCAGCTGTAATTGCTGCTTGCAGGTAGATCACCTTTCAGGGGAGGTAGAGCAGGTTACTGAGAGCAGATGGAATGTGCGCGCCCTCTCTGCCAAACCTGTTTGTGGCGATATGAAGGTGTATTGCTTATAGGTTAGTCTTTGACTTTGTCATTTAAAAAAAAGGAAGTGAAAGCACTGCTATGACCATCAGAATATTCAGGTTCCACTGTGGTACTGAGCTTATTGTACACTTTTTCATATTCACATTAACATAATATTTGATATTCTTCTTTTGTTACAGGCCTGTAGTTTTTGTAGGATAAAGTTGCATGTTCATTTTTCAGGCTTCACATTGTGACCCATGTATCCCATAGTGCTCACCGTCTCTCCGGGGCGCCTGCAGCACGGAGGCGTCTCTGATGGCACAAGCCCACCTCTCAGCCTCCTGGAGGTTGGCGAGCGGGTCCTGGACCAGCGCGACCCGAAAGCACTGCTCCACTCTCTGCCGGGCCACCCCGGCGCTCATCCAGCGCCTCTTGAACGGGTAGAAATAGGCTGTAAAGTAGGCGCCGACGTCCGCGCTATCCGGCCCTCTGTACGCCCGGCAGCCGATACAGTCGGTCAAGTTAAAAACCACCTTCGTCCGGCCGGGTGACGAGGAGATCCTCTGGATGGTCAGGGCGCTCTCCGTCAAGCTCACCGAGTACCGGACCCTGTCGTTAAGCAGGTCGGTGAACTCCCCGTACAGGACACCCACGAACCCGTTCCGCTGGCGGGATGGGTCCGGTTCAGAGGCGTCTTTCTCCATCCCAGAGTGCGACGCGTCCCGCAGGCCGGTGTGCGGATGGCGGTGCGGAGCAGACTCTGATCCTCAGCCTGCTGTGGGACCCTTTGAGTGTGGAAACAGCAGCTTTCCTAGTTCAGAGTCTCTCCCTAGTGACTGAAAGGGGGAATGGCAGTGATAGAGCCAGAGGGGGGCGCAGCCGACTGTCTCCAATACTTAAGCTACTCTGCTCTCTGATTTGGGCCCTACTTAGCCTACATGTAAAACCAGATAATCTAGAATATTTTTACTAGCCTACAAAACTAGTTTGTCAATTTCAAGCCTATGCATAGAGCAATTTATTATTTCTGAATTCCTGAAAGTGCACCTATGGGCTACTTTTTTATGCAAGGTTCTTACAAAGCATGGCTCGCCATTTTGATGTAGGCTGGGCCTAACCTTAACTCAGTTGACACAAAACTATTTTTCAGTGACATTGAAGACCCAGATTCTTTAGCCAGGTCCTGCTTTCAATCCCAAATGTCCCCAAAATGTTTTTAAGTTTTTAAACAGATTTTTTTTAAACGTTATATTTCTATAGCCCACTTGATATTATGTAGGCTATTAGTCTGCACTCTCTATTGATGTGGCTGCCTGTTTCCTGTGACAATTTATTACACAATTTGGGTGGTTAGCATACAAGCTATTTGAATTTCGTTCATAAATCTTAAAAAGATCTTAACCTACTCTATACATGTGAAGTAGATTAATAGCCTACATAACAGCAAGAAAATGTCCTGTTTTAAAAAATGTTGGCTAAATTTAATTTTAAACTAAATAGGCCTATATTAATTTTGATAGGCCTACATTAGGCCTATTACATACATGTTTGTATAGCTATCATTCATATCTACAATCTAGCAGTCATTCAAATTGTAGCCTATACCCTTGTATTTAAATCAAGCTGAAGCATTTGTCATTTATCTTACCTCTTGCTTTTTGGGGTCAAATTATTGTTTGACACTGACTACAACCACACATATGATGTCACAGGAATCATGTCATGTGACTTTGGTCATGTAATTCCCCAGCATGGTCTTAGCATCAGTTGCTTGGACTTACACTTTTCAGGGTAGAAGTACAAGTACTGTTTTCTCATGCTGTCCCATGATGTCCCAATATCTGAATTCACCCTATAGAACAGTTCAACAAATATTCCATTCACTTACACATTTGATATTGAACTATAAGCTACCATCTTAAAATCTAGATTTATTTGACTTGACTCCCACAAACCTTTCCTTCTTCTTGTCAGGATGCGTTCTGCTGCAGGACACCAACCAGTAGGCCTATTTGTTAGAAAATTACGAGAGCTTAATGTCTGATGATGACATTCAGTTTTTAAAAATGCATTAGGCGTGAAAGGTCACTCTTGACCTTGAAAAATAGTAGTTTGACTAAACAATCTTAACTCAAAGTCCACTATAGCTTTATCAGGTGTATCCCCCGTTTGCAGGTGAAGACCATGAGACGTGATTGATTGTGATTGTAATTGGGCCTTGAGTTGAGACTGTTTTGTAAAACTACATTAAGAGTTGCTTCTTTGTTTATATAATAAAACTCCACGAGTTACCTCTCAGGATGTTTTCTTACACATGATGCCACAAAACAAAACTTATTGGCTATTGCCTGAGATCCCTACTTTGTCCATTTTTGATGGGGACTGCATGGTAGCTACTGGTGCTCTTGCTATATAACTGAAGAGTTATGTGTCCACAAATGTTTTTGTAATTGGCATCTCTTATTTTGTCAAATAAGTTATTTCCCTTTCATTGGTTTGTTGTATTTTGCCCAGGCTATGCGGATATCTATCACTGACAGTCTGTGTCCCCTAAACATCCTCCAGAAGACATCAGAAATTTTCAAATTATTTCTTGAATGTGATCCCAATTATTAACCTCAGTTATCATATTTTTCATCAGTTTCGAGGCTAAGTGCACATCTCAGCATACATTATTATAATTCATCCATGGATTTACATGTCACACCCTAAAGCATTGAAATAAACATGCTCTGCCCTCTTCAACTGTGTGTATCGACTGGAGCTATTTATCTTTTTGATACACACATCTGACATTGTATTTATGACACCAGACAATAGTTGAGATTGAGGTGGAATAATATAATGTTATTGATCAAACTTGATATGATTGTCTGACATCTTTATGGCTACTTGTTTATGGATAAGTCTGACATTAGCCTACAACAAAGAATTAACACACCATTCACTATTCTGCGTGTCGTTTTCCTAGGCTACAATCTAAAAGCAATTTAAACATTACATATTATTTTATATATTTTGCTGTACGTGTCGAATTGCAGTTCTTACAATCACGTATATCTTATTTGTTGTTAAATTATAGTTAAATTTGGTGTATTTTCACAATTTAATTGAAAATATAAGTTGAACTTTAACCACACCCAGTCAGCAATCACGTGGGATGTGACGTTAACAACGTTTAAAAGGGTTCTCACGCGAGATTTTCAGTCTTGATCTCTTTGGTTGGCGGTACGGTAGACGTGAGCAGGGAGGCTCCAGCTGCATCATGCCGTTTTCACATGTAGCGATGCATTCGTGTATAAATATGGACTTTACTACAGATGAGCCGCCATGAACAGGTAAGGATTGGATGACTGGTTGATGTAACGTGAGGAAACTTGGAGGCAGTAGCATGTGAACTGTACCAGCCCGCTAGCAGTTAGCTATCCTTGTTAGTCAAGCAAACACGTGGATGAAGACTACGTCGGGCAAAAGCTACAACTGGATTTTAAGTAGGTGATTTTGGAAAACTAGAGGACATGCATTAAATCCATTGCTACACAGTAACATGGGTAACGTTTAAACAAGTTCAAATTGTACTTGCGTCGTGGTTTGAGAGGGACTGACAGGAACGTGGCCTAAGTTAACTTTATTTCCGGCTGTGTTTAATTACAAATCTGTGCAACTTAATATATTTACTTTACAGGCAGATTTGGCTGTTGTGGAATGAGGATATTTTCCTGCCAAAAAAGGGCTGAGCTTTTCGTCGTAATGAAAGGTAACGTTAAAACTGACAAATGCAATAGCTTCTTTTCCCGACTCTCTGAACTGCATATGATGAGTTTGTTATCCCTGTCTGAAAACACAAATGTGGAAACCAATGATATCTGAGCCGCAGCAGACTGATGTGCGGAGTCGCAAGCTGCTGATGAACTACCACTAATGTGATGTGGCCTTGCAGGTTCACGGTTCTTCTGTGCTGCTTGACTCTTCACTGTCGAAAGGGAGGAGACATGGTGAAGAGGTTTGTACCCCCCTGCTTCTTATGATCCACGTTGCTACTGATTCAGTGACGAAAACTGCTGCATAGGAAGTGCCGTCTGATGCGACAACTGACGATGGCAATAGCTTTTCTGAGAAATGCTGTCAAACTATTTTGGCTTCTGGTGTGCATAAACGGAACTTGATGTAGATGTCAAATTCTTCCTACAGGGCTTATCTGCAATGCAAGACGGCACAAGGCTGCAGAGAAGTTGAACAGGTAAAGGTTGTAAGACTGTCAGTTGATGATTAAAGTCAAGCCATTGATGATACAAGTTATCCCTGTCTGAACATAAGTGTGGAGTCATGGTAACCTGAGGCTTGACGGGACCACTATAGCTTTAAGTGACATATCAGTTTGCATTCAAGTGGTTAAAAAGTACTAACTACTTCTTTTACTACTTGCAGATGACTTCAGTGGAGAAGTGGACACCACACAGCTTGGATCATCCAGAAGTCTGGCGCCACAGTATATTAAATACAGCACATCTGTCTGATTAAACCATGAGTGATCTAAAAAATGTTTATTAAAATTCCAGCATCATGGCACATGATAAGTAACATGAATCCTACTGGGAGCACCCAGCATGCGTTAGTCTATGCTGAAGGATCATCTGTAAGATTTCTTCTTCAAATTGTCTAAGAAGAACTGTTCTTCTTGGAGGTATTCACGGTCCTGTGGGCAGGAGAAGAAAGTGATTGGCACCAGAAAGTTGAACTGTAATATGTTCCTGAAAATATTAAATGTACTAGCAGACTTTAAGTATTGGGGGGGGGGGGTGTAATTGTGAGTGAGCCGCATGTTACTGTAATTAGCCTCTTTAAATTTTTACATTAAAGCCTCAAACAACCTCCTTGTGTTTACTATGTGAAGTGAATAACATTCATGTAAGGGCCATAATGGCTTAAAACAATTGAACATCTGGTTTCATACTTTTACTCCAGAGATGAAAATCAACCTTTAATATGAAAGAACTAATGATTTGACACTGATCAAATGTAATCACTTATCAGGATTTTTCAAACCTTTTTGGCCTTGTCTCAGTTCCATTACCATCTCAAAAGTATTGCAATTAGTCACGTGTATTTAAGAATCCAGAAAAAAATTTAACACTGCGACAGTTTATAGATGTAAGGATTATTGCAAACCACTGATGCCTGTGAAGATGGTGGTCCTGTGCTTATACAGTGTGATTCAATGTGTCTGAATTGGAGCAGGATAGTTCTCTATTGTAAAATGCATTGGTCATACACTAGTCAAAATTACTTTTGGAACTTTACTAGAAACATCACTTGTTATGTGACTTGACTATTTCCTATTGCTTCAGCATAAAGGTGTCTTCCCTGGTTACCTTTTGTGCAGTGTACTTCCACAGAGCCAGACTAGCCTGAAGAGCCATGGACTGAGAGTTGGGAAAAGAAGTAGGAGTGGGAATACTCAAGGTCGACGCCAGCTCAGGGTTTGGCAACACTGAACCTACATCTACAGATAACAAAATCTGTGATATATGCACTTTAAACAACATTAGATGAGTTTATTTTGTATGAGTAACTTTGTTGAATGATAGATTTTCTCACCTGGTAAAAGGGGTGGAATCACTTGTGGTAAAGAGGTAATTGGAGGATCTTGCCTCAGCCTCTCTGTCTCCTTCTGCAGGTGATTTAACTGCATTTGCTCCTGTAACAAGAAGTGTTTCGATATCACACTAGAGGTGCTCCGATTGGGATTTATTTTGGGCCGATTGCTGAAAGCAGTATCGGCCGATACAGATTCACTGGGTCTATTTGGAGCCTTTTATTTATCATGTAGAATTAAACAGTATACTTTATATTTATTTAATTGGTCCTAAAAACAATGTATTAAGTGTTAAAGTTAACAGATGATAAAGTATAAAGTATCATGAAATGACAGCTGTTTATTTTATTGCCAGGAAACATGGGCAACAAATTCCGCTCAATCTGTGTTAGACTTAAACCATAGCAGCCTTTGCCTGGTTACTGTGAACATCTTATAGCGTAACAAATATAGCTTTACTGAGGAATAAATTACAAAAACACAACAAACAGCATCTTTATAAATTTACTACAACTATAGACTGCAATAAAACTATTTAGGAGATAAAGGAGCACAGGCATCATGAGTCGATGATAAACCCTTGTTAATCCCTTCTTGTCTGAGAAGGACTTTAGTGCTAGCTAGCTTTGAAACCCTAACAGACCGCGTAGTGAAACATTTTAGCTGCCGTTGAAAATTTGTCTGGTGAGTATTGCATCATCTGATCGGCTTTTCTTATCGGCCTTTTTAGCGACCACCGGTCAAACTAATTAAAGCTATTATCGGCCGATTATGATCGGTGACCGATGGATCATAGCACCCTTACATCAAACAGTTACTATTTCTGTAATGTCTTGTCAGGTAGAAGCAATACACACACGCACCTGGAGGAGTCGTTGTTCCTGCTGCCTCAGACGCTCTGTCTGCATATGGATATTTCTGAGCCTCGTCTCATGCTCAGCCTCCACACGCTTTGCCTCGTGCAACGCTCGTTCTCCTTCTTCGTGCTTCTCTGCAGCAAGCTGCGAAGAACATGGCGTGGTCAAAACCCACATATTACACATTGTTTACTCCACAACATGCAGGGATCTGTGTGGTTTGGATTTACCTTGCTGAAGGCCTCCACCTCCTGGGCTCGTGTCTTGAGTCTCATGGCTGTGCTGCTGATTCTCTCTTTCTCTCTCTCCAGATCGTCTCTCAGTCTTTCCAGAGTCTCTCTCTCCTGTGCCACAGCCATCTCCTTTTGTTTCAGCTCTGCAGTATGAAGCTTTAGGTCAGCTTGTTCCTACAACAGAAACAGATAGAAAAATACATTTATTTTGGGGTCATAGTAGCATTTAAAACAAAGCAAGACTATCAGAATCGCTCTTTTTCAGTAGTGAAGGTCACCTGTGCCAGACTGATGATTGATCCCTCTCTCTTCTCCAAGAGGCTGCTGACTTCCCGTTCAGCCCTCTCATGCCTCTGCTTCTCCAGAGTGTGGAAGTGGGCCCACTCAGCTGCCAGCTTCCTCCTCTCCTCTGCACAATGCTGCATCACTGACTTCTGCTCCTCCAGTAATGCGCTCTGATGGGAACACAGGCAGGAGAGGTGAGAAGCGGGGGTGGGGGGTGGGGGTGGAATCGAGATGGAGCACTTGGACATTCATCAGCCTCACCTTCGCCCTTTCCAGCTCCTCTCTTTCCACAGTGATCTGCATGCTGAGGGCACGCCGCTCTTCCTCCAGGCCTCTTTGGGTGGATTCTGCCTTGGCCTGCTCGGCCGTCATCTTCCAGCGTTCCTGTGGCATAGAAAAAAGAATTTGTATTTTCAATCTTTGAGGGGAAAAGCATCAGTTTTTATTTCAGGTGTTTGTATGTATGCACGTGTGCTGTACTGCTATGTCAAAGCAAATGCTGCTATCCAAAAAACATGTCATCTTTATTTTTACCCCGACCTTCTCAAGCTGTCTCTGTTGCTCATTGAGCTGAGTGTCCATCCTGGAAATTATTTCCTTGAGGTAAGCTCTCTCCTCTGCCATGGCTTTCTGCTGCTGGGCCAGACGGTCCTGCATCACTGAAACGTACATTTAGTTAATGACCTTAACCCACTTATAACGTGTGTGTGTGTGTGTGTGTGTGTTTTGGAGGTACTTCGAAGTTGCTCGTCTCTGTGCCGTGCCCCCTGCTCCAGGCCGTGAGCTGTGTGTTCATGTGTGCTCTCCACCCGAGAAGAAAGCTCCCCCAGCTGAGAGGAGAACTGCTCCATCTGCTCAATCACCACAGTGAGAGACCTGTACAAAAAACACAGACAAACTAGTTGGTATTTCAAAAATCTCTGAAACCTGACCAAGACTGGTCTGTTGAAAACATTGAAAATCTGTTTGGATACAGAAAATCAGCAATAAAAAAAGAACAACTCCAGGCTGACTTTTAAAGTTGGGAGTGCGGGACATTTACATATAAATGAACGTCCTCAAGTTCACACAATGCTGATTAAGCCAGGTAAATCTCTCTTTATTTCGCAGTATTCCAGAGATTTAAAAAAATCTTGTGTCTGTGGCGACATTCCCTCACTGGTGCACTGGTAGTGATGTGTTTAACACATACACTGTATGGTTTAACATCAACCAGCAATGACTGGTTTGCCAGAGCGAAGAGATGAGCAACTGTAGTGACGGAGACGGCTACAGCAACTAGGGGAATGGCACAGCCTATGGCAGAAAAACCCAAGAAGTGTCCAAAAAAGCTTCTGATGCTCCACATAAAAAGTTGAGTTGAAGGATAACAGTCAAAAACAGTGAGGACAAACACAGATAACCATTGCTGTAGCTGTTCCTCGTGCTGGGGAAGAGGAAGGACTGAGGACAGACACTGATGTCGAGTTACTGCTCCAAGACAGGTTGGCATTTGTAACATATTTGGAGTAGGCTACGTAGCTATCACATTTACTCTACCTAAATAATGGATTATTGTCGTGGAAATGTGGACAGTTATCTGTATTTTTGTAACTATTTCTGAAGACGAGCCTGAGGCAAGCACTCGTCGACCGTATTTGTGTAATTACTGTCGCTGCCAGAAGGGGAGCCAAAAGTTCAGAACTGCAGGTTTAAATAGAATAAAAACATTAAGCTACTTTCTGCCTTTGCAGTGTATCATGGTAATATCAGCACTGAAACTGGTATTTCACACAAAAACACAGTACAGTTTACAGGAATATAATTTACTCGTATAATTGTAAACAGGACTGGTGCTCTTTGAAAACAACTTACCTGGTCTGAGATGTTGCGCTGGTAACTGCATCAATCTCTTCATCTTTTAATTTCTTCAGCCTCCGGACCTGGTCCTCGTGGTCTTTCTTCATCTCCAAGATAGATTTCCTTGAAGGCAAAATACACCAAATATATGATAAGCCTTATTACTTATCATAACATTTAATGTGCTCATTCTGAGACTTCCTGAGTTATTTTATTAACTTATCTGAATACTGTAGTTTAGTAAAACCCAGAGCAGGTCTTTTGACATCGCTCCATGTTCCAGATTTGAGGGGATTTTGTGTATTACTCAGATAAATAACTGTAAACCTGATGTGCGGAAACAAACTGCATTTTATAATATAAAAGAATAAGCCGGGTGATCTGATTGGTCTAAAACATGTTTGGATACGTTTTGTTAACTCATTGTTGTGTTGCTGTGTCTTGTGGTGCCTATGGAACTATTATTTTGTATGTAAATTACTTTAATGATTACCTTTCAGTCAGTACATGCGTTTGCAACTGATGCGGTATCTGCTATTGCGATTGTTACACAATCAATCTCTTACTACAGAAAAGGCCTCCCTGGCGTACCTCTGGAGGTCTCTGAGTCTCTCCACCTCGCGGTCTCTGTCTTGCTGGGCCTGGGCCAGTTTACGCTGGTACTGAGCCTGCAGCTCTGCGCATTCCTGCTCAGCTGATCGTGTTACTGCGGCCAGGCGTTCTGTTAGGTCTTCACACTCCTTCCGCGCTTGTGTGTCCCTCTGTGCTGCAGATTCCTCAAGCAGCTTCACACGAGCTCTGGGCGTGCACAGAAAACACTTATAGTGAGTGTGTTAAGCAAACAGACACACACATGCTGCTTTCAGTGCAGGGAATTGTGCATAATGTATGTTCAACATGATGCACGTGTGCACTACACATATATATGTATGTGTGTGTTGTCTATGAATGAACTACTTGTGTGCGTTCTCCATAAGCTCCATATCCTCTTTATGCCTCTGCTTGACATTCTCTAGCAACGTTTGGCTTTGGTCTCGCTCCAGCTGCAGGGTCTTCACCTGTGC